AATGGAAACAGCGCTGGCTCACTGTAGGGAGTGGGGAGAGCCAGCTGCCCTGTCTTCTCCGTCACTCGCTCCCCGTTCCTGCTGCGAGGGTCAGTCCCCTTTGCGGGAGGGAGAAACTTCCTTCCAGTGCGTGATGAGTCGGGGTCTGTGGTCAGGTGCTGTTTCCTTCCTCCCACCTTCTGTTTAGTTTGCAAGTGACCTTTGGGGAGACCAGTTCCACACGTGCAGCTTTCCAGCGACCCAGCGGTCTGCCTGCGAGCAGCACACCCTTGGTTGGGTATCTGTACATGTGCTTCTTAGTCGGTGGGCACAGTCTGCTTAAAAGGCGAGCCTTTCTTTGGAATAACTCGCCCAGCCTCTCCTGTTTGGGTGGGTAAGAGCGGAATGATGTCGTAGTTCTTTAGGGACATTTCAGAGTCTCCTGAGGCGACCTGAGGAAGAGGGGGGAAAGGCTGAGCTCAGAATTCCGGGACAGACTCTCCCGTGTGGGACCTCGTGGTACTTATCTGGGTAAAGAAATGCTGGCACCTTCCCCGAGGTTCCCCATCAGATTCTTCCTCATTAGTTCTTGTTCACTGTGTAACCATTGCCCTCCCCCTCCCCTCCTGCCCATGGTGCCTGCCCCTGAGTGGGTGCTTGGTGACCAGGGACCAGTGGCCTTAGCGAGAGCGCGGGCGGAATATGCTTGCACAGGGTGTTACGCTGAGTGGCACTGAGGGAAGGTGCGGTGGTCATTGAGAATCAGGGTCCCTGAGCTCTAACCCCGGTCTCCTGTCTACAAATCCCGACCACGGTGATTATTATTTAGACCTTTCTCCAGGAGGCTGAATCTTAGGTGGCAGCTTAGTGTCATGATGGAGGGTGATTTGGCTCAGGAGGCCAGAGGTGAGACTTCCTGAAGCAGGAAGATTGTTTTCCCCTAGAAATCGGACATTTAACTTGGGTTTTAGCTTAGTGGCGCTTACTTCTCCCAGTGTGTCTAGTTCTTCACGAGGGGAAATTGCGTTTGAAAGTTGGGGTACTGGGATGTTGATATTGCTTTTACGAGAAGAAATAGCAGCAGCGGCAATACGACTACTCAGTGAGCACCAGGCATTGTCAAGGCACCGTGTGCGTGCATGGACTCAGTTCTTTCTTTCTTTTTTTTTATAGTAAAGGTGGAAATTTATTGAAGAACAAGTACAGACTCCCATGTGGGGAGGGGGGAAGAGTCGCCTTGACTCAGTTCTGACAACAACCCTAGGAGGGCAGGCAATACATATATACATATGCATATACATATATTTTAATATATTTTTATTGATTTCAGAGAGGAAGGGAGAGGGAGAGAGAGATAGAAACATCAGTGATGAAGAGAACCATTGACCGGCTGCCTCCTGCATGCCCCCTACGGGTATCGAGCCTGCAACCCAGGCATGTGCCCTGAACCAGGAATTGAATCGTGACCTCCTGGTTTATAGGTCGATGTTCAACCACTGAGCCACACCGGCTGGGCGGCAGGCAATATTTTTATTTTAACTTGAGAACTAAGATTCAGAGAGGGTAAGCAAATTGCCCCAGGTCACATAGATATTACGTGAACTCATACTGAGTAAGATATCAATAGTGGAAATTGTACTAACAGGGAAAAAGAATAACATGAAAGCCTTTCTCTATTCTGAATAATTTAGTTTACTTTTTAGTATTACCACAAACAAATGTATATACACGCCTGTGTACCTACCTGACATACACATTCGTTTTTAACCTTTCCTCATCCAGGTCTCTGTCAGTGGGATGGAATGGGACTATATCGCCACGCAGGGCCCGCTGCAGAACACCTGTCAGGACTTTTGGCAGATGGTGTGGGAGCAGGGAATTGCCATTATAGCGATGGTGACAGCAGAAGAGGTAAGTGCTCATTTCTCTCCATCGGTTTGCTCCGTCTTAGATGAGAAGTTGTCGTCAATCCTGTGGGGATCCTGACGCTCAGAGAGAGGGGCAGGTTGGGAGAGCGATTCTGCGTCTAGACGTGCTGTCTGTGTGTGTAAAAGGGCTCGTATTGCGGGGCCTTGCACTGTGTTTTGACCGTCCATGTCTGCGTCTGTAACAGGAGGGCGGAAGGGAGAAGAGCTTTAGGTACTGGCCACGCCTTGGTTCCCGGCACAACACCGTCACCTACGGAAGGTTCAAGATCACCACCCGGTTCCGCACAGACTCGGGGTGCTACGCCACCACCGGCCTGAAGATGAAGCACCTGCTCACGGGGCAGGAGAGGACGGTCTGGCACCTGCAGTACACGGACTGGCCGGAGCACGGCTGCCCCGAGGACCTCAAGGGGTTTCTGTGTAAGTGTCCCCGCTCCCAGCACAGCCCTGCTGGGGCTCTGACATCAGCCGCGGAGAGGAAGGCTCATGTTCCTGAAATAGTTCCTTTATGTTGTCTCGCATTCACTCTGGGCTTGTTTTAAAATAAAGATTTTAAGTGTTTAAGAGGAGGCTTGGCAGAAGTTTTTACTTTTTAAAATTTTTTTTTACTTTTATTGATTTCAGAGAGGAAGGGAGAGAGATAGAAATATCAATGATGAGAGAGAATCATTGATTGGCTGCCTCCTGCGAGCTCTACACTGGTGATCGAGCCCGCATCCTGGGCATATGCCCTGACTGGGAATCGAACCATGACCTCGACCATTGAGCCATGCCATTGGCAAAAATAAGTTTTTGAAGTATAACGTGGTAGTGAGTAAAATGCGGTGAATGAGTCTTGGGGAGCTTTTCCTCCCTTTGATTTTGTAGACGAGAAAACGGGAGGCCAGGTGGAGTCCGAGACTCACGGAGACCGCACTGTCAGTCAGTGGTTAGGCCGCTAACTGGCGCCCTGTGCTCGTTGTCCGAGTCCTCCCCGTCAGGGGAGATGATCTGCAGACTGTCCATGTGATGTGCCTTAAACCCTGAGAGTGTTTCTATCTCATTGATACTCACAGCATATCTTGAGGAGATCCAGTCTGTCCGACGCCACACAAACAGCACGAGTGAACCCAAAGGCCCCAACCCCCCGCTGCTGGTCCACTGCAGTGCGGGGGTGGGGAGGACCGGCGTCGTCATCTTGTCCGAGATCATGATCGCCTGCCTGGAGCACAACGAGGTGCTTATTTCCTTTCTTTTTGGTGTGGGGAAAGGTGGGCTGGGCGCAGGTCCGGGAAGAGAGGGACCTCGTTATCTAACAGCTCTTTCTGAACGAGGTTCCTTGGTGTGTGTTTTTTCCCACAAGTAGGAATTTTTTTTATTTGTCACAGATAAAAGCCTGAATTTTATTTTTATTGATTTAAAAATATATATTTTTTATTTCAGAGAGGAAGGGAGAAGGAGAGAGAGAGAAACAATGATGAGAGAGCCCTAGCTGGTTTGGCTCAGTGGATAGAGCATCAGTGGCCTCCAGGCTGAAGGGCCCCGGGTTTGATTCCGATCAAGGGCACATGCCTGGGTTTCAGGCTTGATCCCCAGTAGGGGGCATGCAGGAGGCAGCCAATTGATGATTCTCTCTGATCATTGATGTTTCTATCTCTCTCTCCCTCTCCCTTCCTCTCTGAAATCAATGGAAAATATTTTTAAAAAATGATGAGAAAGAATCATCCATCAGCTGCCTCCTGGGAATCAAACTGTGACCTCCTGGTTCATAGGTCGATGCCCAACCACTGAGTCACGCTGGGCTGGGCACAGGGGGATCCTTGGCCTGGGGCCCATAGGCATCAGCTCGTTCTCCTTGAGCACCTGTCTCAGCCCCCGTCGCTCTCCCAGAGCTGCGACCTTCCCTGCGCAGCTCCATGAGTCCGAGATCGAGCGTGGGCTTCTTGCAAGCTGACTTTTTTAACACAGACATCAGGGAGCAGATTAATAGATTGGCCAGCTTTTCTGTGTCTTTTCGGATGTTGTTTCGTTTAGCATTGTCCCAGAGTTCTCTTAGGCTCTCCTCCTGCTTTTTAATTTTTTTTTCTAGAAGCTGTTCTCTTTGGGTATTTTTTTCTACCTTGTCTTCTAGCTCGCTGATGCGGTCCTCTGCTTCTTCTAGTCTACTGTTGATGCTTTCTATTGAGTTCTTTATGGCAGTGATGTCATTTTTCATTTCTTCTTGG